GCGAAGGTACTCCAAAGGTATTTCTCCCCATGCTCTGAGCAGGTCTCTCTTTAGCGAATCAATTGAGTGGTGATGCTTAGAGCAGACATTGCTCTCCAGTAGCGATAATCCATTGGATTCAGGGCTACTAGACGGCCATTCCTGAGCATTGATAAATCCTGGGAGGATGTCTCTGCACCTTTGCTGGGTCACCCTCGCTCTATGAGCTGGTGCTGAATCTTGTTGGAACACGAATGGTCTAGAGCCGAAGTGATATTTTGTTCACGGAAGCAAGGTGGTTTCTGCACGCTCTTCAAGTAGACTTCCGTATTAATTTCAACATCGTTGTCGATGAAAACCAGCGGAGACTTCGCTTTGTGGGTGATCGCTGCCAAACCATGATTTTTTCTGCATGTCCAGAACGTCCATGAATTCTTCCCCTCTTGTTAGCTTCTTCAGTTGTCGAGCAGAGCACCCGATCGTTGTGACGGTTAAAGGTTGACTCCAACGTAAGCAGCTTCTCATCGGAGAAGACATTGTCTTGGTAGCGCACCGAGAGCGAACCGTTGGAGGAGCACCATGCACTTCTGGATCCGATTTTTCTTCAGGGATGCAGTGAGAAGGTGCACCTTTTGGCATCGATAAGATGTCAATCCCAGATTCTCTTCAATTATACGGCGAGCGAAGAAATGACTTATTCCCAGCTTTTTGGCAATCTTTCTTTACGAGCTCTTCGGATTGCTACTCACCAAATCCCGTACAACTTTGACCTTTCTCGTGGAAGTTGCAGTTGTTCTTCTTCACTTTCCGGGGCGGTCTTCTGCAGTACCGAGCTCATTGAATCGTTCGATGGTGAATTCCACAGCTCTTCTGCTGATTGATAGAGTTTTTGCGATGGTCTTGGAACAGCGACCCATCGGTGTAACTCAATACTCGCGAGTGTGAGAGGATGAGGTCCAACCATTTTAAAAGGAGTAAAAGCTGAGAATCAAAGCTTGTGTTCTTGATGAAGGAGGAAGTGCCTAACAATAGATCTTCGTTGCATTAAACTAATTGATCAAAATCTGCAACTTTGAGCAAGCAATTTTGGCGCACCCTGCATTTGATGTCGATTTCATCAAATGTCTCTCCAAAACCGGCTTGAGCGAGTCGATATATCGGTTGCGATTGGAGTAGTTTGCGATCTGCTCGAGCACCAGTGGGTCGTGGTCGAAGGAGACGTACGGCCATTCACTCGCATTGATGAAGGCCGGCAGCTTAGCCGTGAACAAACCTGAGTCTTCCGCAACTTGTGCACAGGGTGGAGTCTTGCTGAGAGACCAAGACTGGTTTCAGAAGGCGCCTGGCTCCGGGGCATTAGCTCCTTCTCCAAGATGTGCTCAATGCAGTGGTCCGTGTCGATCTTCACGCCGGGATCGAAGAAAACCAGAGGAGTTTCCTGCTAGCGCACATTCCAGTTCATACCAACATGTTTTCAAGGTGAGAGATCAGAGAGACGACTTCCTATTAAAATCGCCCTACTGAGAGGCTGAGACTAGCACCCTATGTTCTGGGCACGCCGCTGCCTTCCCAGTGAACAGTTTTTCGTCAGAGAGAACGGACACCAAGTGCACAAATGCTCTCGGCAGCCCAAGCATGGCCCGGCATTTGCGAATCGGACCGCCTTATCCTTTTCCATAAAGTCATGGCATCATCTGATCCTGTAAAGATGCAGCCCATGGTGGCCGTGTGCCAATCTTCCGATGGATTATGGCGAAAACTAGTGCTCTCTATTTTTTCGCACGCGACGACGAGGATCCCTGACAGTGCGCTTCCTGACGGCTCTTTCGCTCACAGAATTGCTGTGCGGTGCGGTGCTTGGTCTTCCAGATCGAGGACAGTCGAATGTCATACCAGTCTCATAGTACTTTTCAAGAGCCTATAGACGGTTTGGCAGCAGAAGGAGAGCTTTTAGCGATGAGGGATGGGTTGTCGCCAGCGTCGTGTAAGTGCGCAATTGCGTCACGCATAGAATTAGAATTACCATCTTGGACTGTCTAGTCGGATTCTGATGAAATTCAGTGATACTGATGGAATCGTAGCCTTTCCAATAACAACACATCAGATTTGCAGTATATCAAGTTCATTGTGTGACACTACTCGGTCAGAGTCTTGGAACAAAAGGTTTGGGTCACCTTGTATGTACTTAGATTTGCAGTGAGTTGTGCCTTCACCTTTCAAGCAACAGAGCAATATGAGGTTGATCATAACAAGAAATGGAACTACAGCGATAAAGATACTTCGCGGAAAGGGAAACGTTATCCTTGTTATCATGCTTACGTGAGTCTGCTAAAAAATTCATCACTGTGATTTCTTCAGTCTCAGCAACAGGTGGGTTTTTACTTGCACCGACTTCAGTGATAGTGAAGTTTCGGATCAAGGGTAAAGGGTCATGTTTCGTGACAAATGATGTCAACCTTGAAACTTTCGCGAATCCCTCCAATCCGCTCAGCGTAGTTCACGTGATAGTGCGCCGCTTGGACTCTACCAATTAGAAGAAGTGAGGAAATAGATAATGATTACAGTCAGTAGTGTAAAACGACCTACTCTGTAACTGTGCAGGGGTGCTTCTCCCGGAAAACGCGTTGCGCCCGTAACCGATCGTGCGCAATCGCACACCGCAAAGAGAAAGGCTTGAATTCCTACTGGAAGGACACAGTATCAGTCGCGAAACCACTGCCGCTCGCCGTGGGAATTGGGAGAGACCGCCACCCGTTCATTGATTTGATTCATTCATCCATGCGACTGTCAACTTGGTTTATTCAGAAACCAGTTGGGTCGCCCGGCTTACGCCCGGGCCCCCATTCCTTACATTCACTGAGCAGTTAGAAATGCCTCTCCCCCATCCCTTGAGTGAAGAAATGTAGAGCAGTGTAGGATAGAGCTGGGTTATCCATATCATTACCTTTATCGTAATCATAAGTTGTGCGGACGGACAGACCGACAAACATAGAAACCGACACACCGACAAACTTACATATCGACACACAACGTTTCTGCTTTATAAATGAGAGAGATGTTCCCAGAGTGTTGATAACAAATAAGTGTTTACAGAATCTGAGGGCGTAGAAAGAGGCTACGACAGATGGGGTCAACAACTGGTAAACGAGGCCGAACATTTAAACCATGGGAACCTCCCAAAACCATCAACCTTCTTGCCACGCGTAAAATCAAAACAGTGGCAACCACCAAAGGTGGCACAATGGCACAACACATTTCCGCAGGAGGTATTTTTTCGTGTTTGTTTCCTTCGTGTTTCTCTCTGAGTCAGATTCATCGAGATGCCCTGATCAGTTGTCTATGATTGTAAATGTAACGGCACAGTTCACGTTAGGGACGGTTTCTGAGATTTATCGGTGGGATCGACCTATGATCCCTATGACAGCACAAGGGACGCTGTGGATCCGGATAATGGTCTAAATAGAGTTTAATAAGGGCCTCAAAATTGGCAGGTCCGACGTAAACACCAAAGGGCGGAGGAATTGTCATGGCGTTGTAGAGACTATGGGAGTTGCACCAATCGCACTGGGATGGGACGCACAAATGCAGTGTAGCCAGCAATAGTATATACATGCAGACAGCTGGTCCAATTACATCTTATGTGCAACTTTTGCTGTCACACTCTCGTCAAACCCAAATTTTTCTACTTTTCTGGATCCTCATATTTATCTAGTACAGTGATTTTCGCGTCTTCTTTACAAAATTTGCGCTATCTGGACCACTGCCTCCATTGCTAGAAACTAGATACTACAAAATTATCATGAACTGAGCTTCTGAAGAAGTTCCTATAGAGTACCTTTGCATTTATAGCAGGACAGTAGAGCCAGAAAATGCCCTGTCCAACAAGAATGGCTGGAATGGTAAATTAAAAAAACTGACTAAAGCTAGCAAAGCCTGTTACCGGTGTTTTGCCAGACTCTAGCCGTAGAAACGCCGTTACAACTTTTCCACATCCATCCTCCGATAGAAGTCGAATGAGCATTCACTTCAGCTAGTGAGACAACAATTATCACTTTTTTAGGGCGAAAAGGATCGAGAGGGTCGTACCCTGATGACGATTATCCGTACCCTGACATAGTCGGTAGGTATCGCTATCCCATCACTAACTAGTGTGCTAGCAGTTATCGAGATACAGCTGGATTATATCTGTTACCACTGGGGATGGACCCTGAACTTTCATGCCTATATGCTCAAAAACAAAAACCCGAACGCAAACGGTATCAATGGATGTTGGGCGTTTATCTGGAGTTTGCACAAAAGCCACCCTAGAGCATTTTTACTAAATTTTCATAGACATATGCCAAGTTTCGACGGCTTCAGCTGTCTAACTAGCACTGATTTGTTGTTCGCAAAGGGTCACAACCTTACCAGATAATTGTTCCACTATAAGGCTTTGAATACAAATACAGGCCTGATCGATAGAATCTGGAATGCCGTTCACAAATACAAAAGTTGGAACTGCGGAATTAGAATTACCATAAAAGTTTCGAGCGGTCAAATTTCGCTGGGATATTTTCTGGATATTGGTCAGTTGACACGACCGTCGTTCGCCCGGGCCATCGGTCTTCCCCTGGCTAAGGATATGGGTTTGCTGCCCACATACACACATATATACACTTACATACACGCATAATCGCATACACACATACACATACATACAAAGGAACAAATCAACAGCCACACTTAGCGAATTATATACGGCACAGTCATTTTATTGTAATGATAACTTAATGATTTGATAAGTGGTGGCGTTAGCCAATTACCCTAAGAAATAAGAATTCTCAGCATCCTCAACTATCCGGACAACACCTGAAATCAAAACAACTGAAAGAACAACTGAAAGAACGACTGAAAGCACAAGTGAAAGCACAACACCAACATGTGAGCTTGGATGTTAAAACTTCCGATATTGGTTGATTCCAACCCTGCTACAGGGAATTTCCCATTTTTCCAATTTCACATACGCTAACAAAGCCAAATAAATGTTTCGTTCAGCAACTGGTACAACAGTCGAAGAGCGAATGGGAGAGAAGCCGGAAGAGCTGTTCGAAGGGCACACAATCGGTAAATTTCATTACCTTACAACAAGTGACTATTCTGATCATGGTTTTAGGTGAACAAATCATTTCTTTCTACTTGCAGGGATACGCCATAACTATGGATATGGTCCTCCAAACCATGATGGGAAACACAAGTTAGTAAGCTTCAAGCATAGCTTAGTTGAAATGGCTGAAGAACTTTATTTTCAGAGTGTTGGCAATATCACTCATTGTCCTGGTTATCGTTTTAGCTATCCTCGTGGCTATAGCAATTGTCATTTTGATTAGAAAAAGGAAGAAAGATAAAGCAAACGCAGGCAAACCAAAAACTTCTGATGCACAAACGAAGACAGAATCATGAATGTAGAAATGTTGTCCAAAGATTTGTATAATAGACAGAAACCATCTCGAAACATTTTTACTTTGTTTTTTGTATCAAGGCAATAAAGTTGAAGTTTTTCTGGTCTACATCATCGACGGTTTCAGTGTTTCCTCTTTTTGATGAGCAATCAAGTCTTTGATCCTGATCTCTGTTATATACGGCTGCCATTAGTTCAGATTTGTAGATTTGTGCTCTTTTGGCTACTGTAGTCTGCCTCCGGCTTTCCTCTGGTTAAGTTTTTGGTGGCCAGGGGCTCTTTTCAGATAGACGTTCCATGTTCCTCGTTTCATTTACCGGAAGGAATCCGTCGTCATTAACCTATACCAGCTGTTGTCAGCTCTTGGGAGAAACATCCTATTCGAGATGAAATCTTCCACATTTACAAGGTTCTTTCAACTACCCCGATTGATTTGAGTGGTCATTAGAATGTCTTTCTGGAACAAAAGTAATCCGGAGAAAATGTCAGTAAGAATCAAAATTGTGAGAGATTCAAACTAGTGCCGTCGTACACCTGCCTGTCATCTCTCGACTGCAGATCACCATGAAAGGCACCGTTCACATAATTTCGGGTAATCCAGATTATGATGAAAAATGGAAGACAAGATCGAAACTAGTGTGAGGTGAAGAAACTGCGTGCATCGGTGTTTCCAAAGTGAAAAAGGCTTCGAAAAAGCGTTGAAAAGGAGGCTGGACGTGAATGAAACCAGAAAAATGAAGAAGAGTGGGGCGCCGGACGAGCTAAATAGTGTGTTTCCTACGCGCGTGTGGGTCCTGGTGCGAAGAACAGACAATGGTAAGCAAAAATTCATTCACCTATAAGCATAAATAAACAAAAAACCTCGGTAACGGCAAAAGTAGTTCACCTTTTTCAGCCTCTAGGAGAACGAAATTGAATAAGGGATCGCGACAGCAAAAAGAAAAACAGAGGAAAAAAGAATGGGAGAAAAACATCGCCTCATCACTCGGCGATTAGAGATTGTGCGTGGGTCCTAGAACGAATAAT